AATACCTAGTTTAGAGTAGCCTTGAGCATGTGCTTCAGCACCACCTTCAGGCAGTGGACACAGTAAATTGATCAGGCCCCTGAAGCATGCTGCATATGCTGCACTGCTGTCTGGATTCCCCACTACATCAAAAGCAGTTTAGAAAAGCCTGTGCAGATGAGGTAATTGGTGTAAGGACTGGCTAACTGGCATTAAGGTCCAACCATGCTAATTAGCCCATCTGAAGCACTGTGCAGATGTAGCTACACTGCTTCTCGTTTAGGAGGCATCCACCCAGAGAAACACTGTGCATTTGAGGATGCCTCTCTAGAAGTCAAAAGAGAAAGCCGCAGGCTCCTGGCTTTGGCACATGTGGAGAGGAAGAAAGTGAGTAGGGCATGCTCCTTGACAGCATTCCCAGCTTGGTGTGGTAACAGTGTAGACATGACCACACAAAACAGTGTTCAAAACACCTGATTAGTTTAGATCCTGCCTCTTAAATCCTAATTAATAGGTCTGGGAAATTTGGCTCTTGCTTACCACTGCCTCTTTAGGCTGCAAATACATTTTGTATGGAGAAAGTGCTAGCTTCAAAATACACAGGAGAGTTTTAAAGATAGTTTAAGAGAAAAAGGTTTAAACATAGGGCAATCGGGTCTTTAAGCAGGAATTTAAATATACTGGCCAAATTTGAACTACCATATTTTCCTCACATATACCCAGCACCTTTTTCTCCAAAATCAGCTGGGGAAAACTGGGGTGAACATTATATACAAAGAAAAAGGATCCCCATAGGTCTAGAAATTTGGTATGAAGGGAGGCAGATGGTGGCAGAATTAATTGTCACAGCTCTGGGAGCCATAACAATTAACACTGCCATTGTTCCTTCCTCCTGCCAACAAATTTTCAGACTCTTGGGGAGCTCTCTTTGCCAAGCATGCACCAGATTGGGTTGGCATGTGAGGCCGGTATGCAGCTGGATTCCATGCAACCAGTCTGACCCAGCACTTCTGGCATGCCAACTCTGAACCTGTGCCCTTGTTCTGGCACCACGTGGATGGGGAGAGTGGGTTGTAGGTGGTGCCATATGCACGTGTGTGGACATACATGCATGTGTCCAGGCATACAGCCCCAGGCAGAGGTGGAGACAGTTCCCCCAGCTGCCTGCAGGTAAGTCTATAGAGAGAAGGGGGCAGATTAAGGCTTTTGAGAGAACCCAGGTCTGATCGCCGCAGATTGAGGCCCCCATGGTGAGGGAGGGAGTGGGGCAGGGACGGGGGCAGGGACATGGGCAGGGGGTGCTGCTCTGGCCATGCCATGGTGGGGGGGGAGGAGGGGCAGGGGAGGTGGGCATGTGTCCTGCCTCTCCATTTTGAAAAGGTGGTCACCCTAGGTGTGGCTATATATGGGTGCATACTATATGCACCAAAATATGGTATGTGGATGTAACTCCTTTTGATTTCAACAAGCATTTTCCCACCATTCTAATACCTGAAGTCTTTTTTTTTTTTAGTTAGTATATTCTGGTCTGCTCCAGCCCCCGGTCTCTCTCTTGTGTTGATCTTTTCTAGGCTGCCTACAACCTCATCTCTCCACTGATTCAACAGGAGGCTCAACTGTTTTGTGAAGGTCCAGTTAATACCTGAAAAAGATATATTATCTATAGGGGACATGGCAAAAAACAATAGGTTTAGATTACAACGAGGGATATTTTGCTAGGAAATGAAGAAGAAATTTCTAACTATAAGGATGGTTACATACTGGAACAAATGAGCTATAAAGGTTGCGGAATTTTTCATAGATTTCACAGACATCAGGGGCTGGAAGGGACCTCAAGAGATCATTGGGTCCAGCCCCCTCCCCCGCCCACCATAGGTGGGAAGTCAGCTGGGATCAAGTGACCCCAGCAAGAAATATATCCACATGTTTTTTTTGAAAGAATCCAGAGTAGGTGCTTGCACCAGCTCTGGGAGGAGTTTGTTCCAGAATCTCCATCATTAGAGTTTTTTAAGAGTTGGTTAGGCATACACTTGTCTGCGATTTATAGTTTATATAGAAATGTTCCTAAACTGTGTAGAAGGCTGACCTAGCTAATCTCCTGGGTCCCATTCCAGCCTTATTTTTCTATGAAAGTGATGAATTGTAGTACCTTGTCTCCTTTAGTTCTACTTTTTTACTTCTTAGCTAAAACAGTGATTTGTTGAAGAGAGTAAGTTTCCCTCTTGAATTTACTTTAAAAAAAAAAAGATATAAATACATAACAAAATTTTCACTCTGCTTGGACCTGACAAAAGTTCTTTTCTACACTGTGGGTCCTGCCACATGTTCAAATTAAACCTGGATAGAAACCAGATATTGGGGGAGTTAGACATTTTTAAGCACTAATTTTATAACCGGTTGGCTCTTTTTATAGTTGGATAGTCATTTTTATCACATGATAATTACTTTGCATATATGGCTGGTCTAAATTTATTACACGATTAAGCAGTTAATTGTGAGATAATTACTTTGCACTTGCAGCAGGTCTTACTTTCCACATGTGGTCAGTCTACGTTTATTGTCCAATTAACCAGTACAATGTGTAATATATGTAATGTATAGCAGGGGGCTAAAACACATCATACTAATTTCTCATGAAACTATTATAATTCCATTACTACCATACTCAGTTCCCAGAGTGCATGTTAGTTGCATATGTTGATACACAAAGAAGCTTACAATGATTCAGAATTAGAATTGTGAAATTAATGATTTCCAAATATTTCTTTGCTTTCCCTTTTCCTGTTCCACATGCAAAAGAATTAAAAACCCTAAAAATACAACAAACAAACAACCGTACAAAACATGCAAAAACAAGTAAAGATGACACACAGCACAAGTAAAGAACAAGCAAAAAGGTGCAGTCTTCTGAATATGGGTATTTCTCATTCATTCATCTCCCTTAACCCACTTACACTGACCTTTTTTCCATTCAAAATTGGTGTCTAACAGCCTAATGCTTTAAGCATGATTTCAGTGGCATTGTTTTTCAGCAAATAGACTAGAAAAAACACTGCTTGTAAGACTGGCACATATAATTATAGCAACACCACATTTTTGGCTCTGCGTTCAGTCACAGCTGTTTATGCACCATGACAAGTTCTCTTCCCGTGGTTTTCTTATATCTACTCAGAAAAACAGACTGTCTTAAAAAAGAAATGTAGGGCTACTCTAGCTTCTTACCTCATTTATTTTTTAGTTTTGTAAACAAGAAGAATTAGATAGGTAACTGTCAGCAAACTCATACAAACAGTAACACCTTCACATAAGACAATTGTTATTTAATAATGACCTGTCTTATGAAAACAATTTGAAGGGGCTCTGCAAAGAGAAAAAAATGGTTAAGTGCTGTGCTGGTTTTTGCTTGTGTATGATTTGTCAAAAAGACATGAATTGTGGGGTTTTTTTGGCCTCAAAAATCCTCAAATGTCATGAAATAGTCTGATTTTCTCTAGTTTTATTGAAGTTCAGGTGTCAAATATAGGACACAAATATTTGAATTGTGACTTTTGGGGGGTCTGGAAAGAATAGTTAGAGTTGGTGTATCTTTAATTAGCATATTTTCTTCCAAACATTTGTAGATGATCTGAACTAAATAGATTTGAGTAAAATCAGGCAAAATAAAAGAGCTTTCAGTAGTTTGATTAAAATGGCTTCCCTCTCCAATTAATAAGATGTCACTTTCCTTATATTTATTTTGCAATCTACTCATCAGTTTTCAACTCATCCACACAGGTTTCCGAGACACGAGGATGGATAAAATATTGTTCAGTATGAAAAGAGGCTGCAAAAACAATTAAAATAGAAACCCCTTGGATCGCTGTTTTAAATCTTCTTTCCAACTGGGTGCTCATTCGATCAATTCCATCAAAGCCACTGTTGTTTTTGTCTGTGTCTGGAGAGGCTTTCCAAGATTAAATTAATTTTAAAGAATTAGAAAACACTTGATTGTGTTTCATTAAATATAGTGAGAGTCAAGGTTTCAGGAAAGCCACAAAAAGCAGGCAGCAGCCCCTGAGGGGTTGCCAAGGCTCCCAGAAGACAGGCTTCTCAGCAAGACAAAAATACAGTTCCGTGTGTCAGACAAACCTGACAGGCAGGGCTGTGGGCTGTAACTGCCTTACTGTTGCCATGTACTTTGAAAGGTTAAAGCTATTGTTAAGACTTAATACTTTTCACTGGTCAGCGGAGAAGCAAGGAAGTCAAACAGGCATAACCCGGGGTTAGAATGAGCAATCTTGGGCATAAACAGCCAAGGAAAAGACCAAGAGCTCTCTGCACCGACTCAATGGCGTTACACCTGAGACAGGGGAAGGGGTGGCGGTGCACTCAGGACAACCTTCCGCAGTCTCAGGTTTGACTCAGGGGCAGGATGTCAGGGTGATTTGGGTATTTCTAAAACAGGGGCTTCTGGGACGCTGATTCCCCCCGTCTTCTCACACAACATGTCACACAAACGCAGCGGATAGGATGCCATTTATCTCTGGTCGGGTCTGTGAGGTGCCAGTGTCAGGATTGCCAACTCTCATGGTTTTTGGAGTTGTTCTTAAAGTCTACGCTTTGCGAATGTGAAAAAGTTATTTATATATAGTATATGTATGTGTGTGTGCATATATATATTCACACGTCCGACGCGCAGATTTTAAGCACAGGGCCAAACATCATGAGAGTTGGCAGCACCGCAGAGTAGCCCGCGCCTGCCTCCCAGCGTTGAGCATGCTGTCCGGGCCCAGCACCAATGGGAGCCGCCGTGGGGGGACCCGCCCCAGCACAGCACCAATGGGAACCATCTGGGGAGGTCCCGCCCCTCTGTGACCACG